TTCCCTAATAAATTACCAAAATTGTGATTCATTACTTATATTGATTTTAGTGTGTATTGTTGTTGTTGTTTTGTGTGTGTGTGTGTGTAAAAAGATATATGCAATTACAAAAGTTTTCCTGTAAAACTTTTTAATATTTAATCATATATTTTTCTAGGCTTGAAGAACATGAATGGGACCAGGACAAATTCTTTTTCCAATTCCTTGGCCTGCAGTTTTTATGACAGAATCACCTATCATTTCCAAATACTGTGTGGCAGTGAGCACCATCACAACCTCTGACATTCTTTTAAAGACTGAAAAATATTTTTGTGCTGTGCTAGCTGTTGCTAATAATAATATTTATTGATCATCAGTATTACTACATTTGTCATATATTTTACCAGTATATGTGAACCATGCACCATAGGTAAGGTATGCTAAGTTTAGCTTTTGCATACATGACATGCCTTGTAGACAGAAATTTACACTTATAAAAATGATTCAAATGCAAGTATGGATTGGTACAGGACTAACTGGGTATCAGTGAAAAAAACTGCTGACCCAAGTAAATTTATAAAATAATATTATTATTAATATTGATCCTGTTTTTAAAAGGAGTGGTGTGTTTGTTGGTTAACTGTATGTACTGATTAATAAGTGTAAAATAATCGCCATATTGATGTGTTGTTAAAATAAAAAAAAATTTTTGCCACAAAAAAACGTGTATTACATGTATGAAAATAAAATATAGCAAATTGAATTGATGTATCTTTTGTTTTGTTTTTTCGTTTTTTCCTAAAAAAGGAACTCTTATTGGTTAGCCTCATATAATAAATAAATGCTTATTTATAAAGAAAAACTATGAAATGTTTATTTTCCTCCATTCTTCCTGTGCCAGCTTCATTTGACTATATAGACAATAATGAGAGGTGGAAAAACCAAAACGAGGTCAGAATACCAACAGAATGTACTGAGTCAAAACGAGGCTGGTACACGGTTGTTGCAAGGAAGACATTTTTTGCATACACGGGTGTGAATTGATTTGTGCCATTCCTGGATGAAGGTAAAGTTCCTTACATGCTTACATTTACAGAAAGCTGAATAAATTTGCCACAGCTTACTGGTAATTTGAAATTGGAACCTGTTCTCTAAGAATGCAAGCATTAGAGTCAAAGTTGAACTTCCGCTGTAGCTTAAGTAAAATATTTGGTTTCAAACTCGTTTTTCTCCACAAAATAGGGTTTAAATCAACTCGAGGAGCATCTGACATGATTTGCAATTTACTTTTAAAAATGATAATATACATAACAAAACTTTTATATCCTTAAAGGCCGAGATATTCCACCGTTTCTGACACCCTACAAATCTCAAAAAATTTCACCCAATTCAAATTCTTTAACTTCCGGTTTGGTTAAAAGCCACCTAGCGGCAGACCGGTGGCTCCCAGGCTGTATTACTAATACGTGCTACAACAAAGTCCGAAAAATGTGCTTTCTGATTTAGAGGTAATTTGTCTCCTTGTTGCTGTATGATATAAGCGTGATGTAACGAGATCCGCACATTGATCATTTGGTTTGTTTAACTGTATTTATTCCCCTATTTCACACAGACCACGAATCCCACGAATCGACAAATTTCAGGATTCGTGAGGATTCGTGAGATTTTGCAAATTTTCTGGCCTAATTCGACACGCTCTACGATTCAGTTACGATACAGGTGCGGTAGTGTTACGAATATTCGTGGGATTCGGGTGGAATCGCACGAATATTGTCAAGAATTCACTATGATTTTTTTGGAATCGGGAGATCGTGGCCAAATTTTTGAACATTTTGAACATTTTTCCCGATTGATCAAGAATTCCAAGAACTGACTACGATTATATACAAATCTGTTAAGAACTCCACGAACTGATTACGATTCATCCACGGATCCTGAAAATTTGTCAATTCCTGGCGATTCGTGGGATTCGTGGTCTGTGTGAAATAGGGGCATCAAAGTTTTTGCCACGAATTCTTGTTGGTCAAGAATTGCAAGAACTGATTGCGAATATATACGAATCTGTTGAGAACTTCACGAACTCATTACTGTTTACGATTCAACCACGAATCCTGAAATTTGTCAACTCCTGGCGATTCGTGGTCTGTGTGAAATAGGGGCATTAACTGTATTGTATTCACAGCCACGTGTTTGTGAGTATTACTGATATACAGCCTTTGTCAGTAATTATTATTATTGTCTTCTATACTACAACTACAACTACTACTACTACTGCTACTACTACTACTACTACATGGTGTACTACTACTACTACAACTATTACTACTACTACTACTACATCATATAGTCCTACTACACTGTACTACAACTACTACATGTACTGGTTCTACAACTTACATCGCTCCAGAGGTATGCTGAGGTGAGTTTCCAGAAATCTCTTAGACTCAACGTGCTGTCGGGGACAGCTTGAGGATATCTGTTCCCCGTGAGGTCGACTGTTGTAACGAACTGACCTTTTTGTATGTCTCCCTTCCTCTCTCCTACATCCATCCCCGTTATCCTCCCCACCCCACCACATTCCCCTTCAAACACTCCAATCATTGAAATGCACGCACATGCTATCTGCCGTACACCACAAGAGGGAGGTACCCCCCCCCCCGCCCCCCACTTCTCGTCTTACGTCCAGTCTTCACTAACACAATGGGGTGATATTTGTGGAGTCCGTCACAATCATGGTTGAGACA